CACACACCCACACCCATACCCTATACCCTTATACCACTGTACCACAATTGTGGTATAAAAATATACCCTTATACCACTATACCACCATTGTGGTATAAAATATACTCTTATACAACTATACCACCATTGTGGTATAAAGTATACCCTTATACCACTATACCACAATGGTGGTATAAAAATATACCCTTATACCACTATACCACAATTGTGGTATAAAAATATATCTTATACCACTACGCCAATAAATGAATATAGTGGTATTATTTTATTTTGCTACAAATAGAAATGATTTGAAGATATTTGATTTTGCCACAAATTCAGATTCCCCATCATGTGTGGAACCTGCTCCCAGCCAGACCATAACTTTTTTAGGAAATTTCTGTATTTGCTTGACGCCACCTTTTGCATCAGCGTCGACACGACTTGACGCCCAGATCCTCTCGTTTTGGAAGTTATAAACTCTATCGATGTCCAACAGTTGTTCGTCAGAAAACGAAAATCTCAACGTGTTCTCTTTACGAAAGTTCGTTCGTATCCAATTTGAAAATTTTAATCTTTTTGCTTTTTGGTCTTCAGAAATTTTTGGCTGGACTTTTTTCCTGTAAGGTTTTGGTTTTAGATCATCTTTGGGAATTCTTTGAGCACTTGTTCGAGATATTCTCAAACCACGTGCAATTTTCCGGCCCGAAAAAACTCGTAATTGATCATGTCGGTGTTGTACCTTCCGTATGTTTGCTGCAGTTCTGACTGTTTTTGGACGACCCATTGATTTGAATAACATAATCTGGTCGGTGTCTCGAATCATTTTGCATACCTTTCGATATTTGATAAGCCCACTGAACCATGAAGATTCTCATGGCTCTTAATACAAGATTGTCGATCTTTATATTTTGAAAGTACTAGATTTTGGAGGTCTTTACTATTCATATTTTCGAACTAGAATATTATATGATAGCACAGTATGTGTTCGTATGAATTTGTAGAGAAGAAAATTCTCTTTCAATTGAAAAAAAATAGTGGTAAATTGCGGATACTTTCCGAGATATCCATCAAATACTATAATCATCATTCTTTATGGGTCACCCGATATTTTACAAAAATAATACTATTTTGCAACGACTTATTCGATTACTGAAAAGTTAAAAGCAGAGAGTAACAGATTCATTTATATTTTTTCAAAATAAATATAAATTGATTTGTTTTGAATTGATTAATTGACACAATTTTTTTACAGGAACTTGTGCTTCTTTAAAGTCATCTTCCTTCAAACGTAGATTAATTTGGTTGGAAATCTCGTATACTTGTTTCAAAGCAGTTTCTCGACTCTTGTTTAGAAACAATTGTATAGCTTTCGAATATTGCTATCTTTCAAGAGCAACTTTGATCACTTTTGAATCTCAAGAACTGGGGGTGTGAGTGTGGGCATGTGTAAGCGCAAGTGTAGAAGTTCTTTAGACTCTTATCCACACCCACACTCAAATATCCCGCGGTAATTTAATATATCTGTAACTCGTTTTTGAAGTGAAATGAGGTGAAAAAAAAACAAATTGGAATAGGTTTCTTATGGATTGATGATTCTTTTGAGTTAAATTGTACAGATTATTTTATGCAAATCGAATCTAAAGTGTCCAACAATTTAATATTTTCTAAATTAGAAATTCATTTTTTCGCATGTGAAAAACGTTTTAATAACAGCAGCCTGATTTAGTTCAGGTATGCCCATTAATATTAATATAGCCCTATAAAATTCGATTACATTACCCATGTTTATTATTGATTATTTTTGTGAAGTAAATATGAGAAAAAAAATAGAAAGAATAATATTTACGGGTTTCTTCGTCAAGATTTGAAAGAAAGAAAAATAAATATGAGCATTTCTCGTTTTATTCCTTTATCGCCTTTGTAACAGACACATATCGTTCACATAATTGATTTTTTCAATTGATAGTACACACATCAGCACATTTAAGTTACAAGCAAACTTATCTTTAAAAAAATGTCATATTATCGGCAAAACAAAACCAAAGACGTGGTACCATTAGATATCAAAAAAAGATTATTAACTACAAATAATGCTATTTATTCTCCACAAGATGCCGTCACCAAAGAGTTCGTTGTTGTCTGGCTGAATTCGATAAGCAATGAGTGTAATGAAGATTTTAAACATTCGGTTTCTCAGCTTCGATCCATTGTCGATTCTTTTTATACATTTAATAGTAAAGAGAAATGCGTTGATTTTTTAACAGATATTGAAGAAAAAGAAGTGTCTTTGATTATATCCGATGCTCTCAATGAACATTTAGTCTCCCTAATTGAAGATGTCTCCCAAGTGACCGCCATTTACATATTTAACAAGGAATTATCGAAAAATTCGCTATCGACTAATCAATCGAGAAAAGTAAGAGGCATCTTTTCTGATATTGAAACTATATGTTATTTATTACGACAAGAACTTCGAGAAACCGATTATTGCTTTAATTCGATCAGTATTATTCCTTCAAATTATGAACTAAATCAAAAATTGAATGAACTCGATCAATCTTTTATGTATACAAAGTTATTAAAAGAAAATTTTCTCGATATTGAATATAGTGAAGAGGCAAAAAAAGATTTCGTTGATTTTTTACGCATGTTTTATTTTGATAATCCGTGTCAATTGAGTCAAATTGAATGATTCGAAAAAGATTATCAATGTTTTTCACCGACATGGTGGTATGCAAAAGAACAATTTATTTATTCAACACTCAATCAAGCATTGAGAGTACAAAACATAGCCATCACTATGAAAATCGTTTTTTTTTGTACACGATCTGCATCGTGAAATCGAAAAAATTTACATTAATCGAGGTTCAAAAAATCAAAGTTCGATGATCGTTTATCGAGGACAAGGAATGTTGAATAACGAATTTCAAAAATTAATCAATCGGGAAGGTGGTCTACTGTCATTTAACAATTTCTTGTCGACAAGTATTGATGAAGAAGTATCATTAATATTTGCTCGTAGTGCCACAGACAATTCGGATTTGACAGGAGTTCTTTTTCAAATGGATATTAATCCATCGATCGATTCGACACCATTTGCTTTATTGGACAATGATGATTTAAGTCCATATTCAGAATGGGAAAAAGAAATTCTTTTTTCAATGCATACCATTTTTCGAATAAAAACTATGACACAAATTGAAGATCGATTATGGCAAATAGAACTTTCATTAACAAATGATAAGGATGAACAACTTAAAAGTCTGACGAAATATATTCGCCAAGAAACTCTAGGGCTAACATCATGGCATCGTTTAGGAAGATTGATGATAAATATGGGTGAGTTAGAACATGCCGAACAAATCTGTGAAGCAATACTCGATGCAACATCTAACGAAAATATTGAAAATGTCGCTTTGGTGCATGGTGATCTTGGATGCATAAATGTGAAAAAAGGAGATCATAAAACTGCACTTACATTTCATCAAAAAGCACTTGAACTTCAGAAATATGCGCCCAATTTCGACGCTCTTAATTTGACAACTACCTACAATAGTATTGCATTCATTTATCATTCTATGGGAGACTACCAAAATACTATTTTATTCTCTGAAAAATCAATTGAAATTAACAAAAAATATCTAACCATCAAGTCTCTTTCATCAGGATATGCGTACCATAATATGGCTTTAGCCTACTTTTCATTGGGTTCTTATTCAATAGCCTTGTCTTATTTTGAGAAAGAGCTGGAAATCTTGCAAGAATATCTGCCGACCTACCATCCATCATTAGCAGTGACTTACGACTGTATAGGTGCAACCTACCAAGAACTAGGCGATTATGCGATAGCACTTTCATTTCACAAGAGAGCACTCGAAATTCAACAAAAATATCTTCCCCTTAATCATCCGGAATTGGCTATGGCCTATGGAAATATTGGTGCACTGCATATAGCGTTAGATGATTTTCAAACTGGATTGTTGCTACATCAAAAGGCGCTGGAAATAAGAAAGATCTCACTTCCTCCAAACCATCCAGAATTGGCTACTTCCTATAGCAATATTGGTGGAGCACATCGTTCTTTCGGAAATTATTTACAAGCATTGACTCTGTTTCAGAAGGCTCTCGATATTAGACAACAATCACTTCCGGCAAATCATCCTTCAATTGCTACAGCTTTAAATAATATCGGTACAGTGTATCATCTAATGGGTAATTATTCGATGGCACTTTCTTTTTTACAACAGTCGATGGAAATAAAAGAAAAAATGCTGCCTGAAAATCATTCAGATTTATCGGAACTTCAAGGAAATATTGGTATTATTCATCAAGCGATGGGAAACTATCCTATGGCACTTTCATTCTATGAAAAAGCTCTCAAAATTCAAAAAGAATCTTTCCCTGAGACTCATTCACACTTGGGCGTTTTGTACGGTGGTATTGGCGAAGTCTATCGATTAATGGGACATTATATGGACGCATTAACCAATTTTCAAAAAGCACTTGACATATTTCAAAGTTCCCTTCCTTCGAATCATTCCTTATTGTCCACAACTTACAACAACATGGGTCTTGTACATGATTCAATGGGAGATCAGTCGCTCGCACTTTCATTTTATAAAAAGACACTTGAAATTCAAGAAAAAACTCTTCCTGCTCATCATCCTTTTTTAGGTACTACCTACAATAACATCGGTGTTGTGTATCGACGAATGGACGACTATGCAACTGCACTATTTTATCAACAATAAATGCGGAAACTTCGGATTTAAATCCGAGAGTTATGTGTACTTCAAAAAGTGAATCATACAAATCAATCATCCTAGACTGTCTGAATATCAAAATTATACTG